CCAAATAAATGAATAGAGTCTTAGAAAAGATGACATTTAAAAAGAGAAAAGCCATCCAGATTAGAAAGAAAGTGAAATTATCTCTGTTCTACAGATGATATGATCTTATAAGTAGAAAATTCTATGAAACCTACAAAAATTTGTCAGAATTCAGCAAGAAGATTTAACATCAGCACCTCAAAATCAGCGGTATTTCTACACATTTGCAATTAACAATCTGAAAAGGAGCCAATGAAAGAGTTCCATTTACAAACGCATTAAAAAGTAATACCATTTTCCTTCCTGCCCACTTGTCTTACTCCATCCGGGCTACTCTAACAAAAACCACAGGCACCTGTAGGTAGGGTGTTAACAACAGATTTATATTTCTCATAGTTCTGGAGGCTGAGAAGTTCAAGGTCATGGTGTTAGCGTGGTTAGATGAGAACCTGAACTTCCCTGTGTACCCTCACATAGCAGAAGGGACAAGGGAGCCTTACTGGACCTCTCTTACAAAGTCCCTAACTCCCTCTGATGGTTCCGTCTTCACGACCCAGCCACATCCCAAAGCCCCTAATACCAATGGGCATTAGGATTCAACATATGAATTTGGAGGGGATGCAAACATTCAGCCCATAGCACCATTGTTTTTTCTTACATTGCAGTCCAAATCTCTCTCTTTACATGAATTTCTTGGCTTTTCATATTTTGAATGAACTTCTTTCTTCTCTCTAGTCACTAGCTTTCCCCTTGTATTTCTGTTATTCCATTTATTATGACCCACTTTGTCTTATTCACTCATAATTTGTCTTGCAGGATCTTTGGGGAGCAAATCCTATTCTGAACATCTTTATGTTCCCCAAAAGCATCTGACATGGTGCCTACCCACTTTGGGTACTGAACTGGCATTTATTTGATAGAACTTTCTAAAGCTCTGTTGTCAGTATTAATTATACACTTTGATAATCTGAAGAATGTCATAGGTTTCAGTTTCTTTGAAATTCATTTAGTTCCTAATTTTAAAAAAATCCAAGATTGAACACACTACAGAACTAACCTTGCACTGCACATGAATGGTTTTTGACAAATTGAATAATTGGTGATTAAATATTTACTTGAAGAAAAATACATTATTTAATTTTAATGTTTTCAGGCTACAGTTCATTTCTGTGTGACATCCAAATTGATGGTTTTAGTAAGGTTTATATTAAGGTTCTTAATACCAACTGGCTGGCCAAGTGTAAAAATCACCTCAAATACTATTAGAAGTACATGATCCTTATACATGGGTATCCTTAATCACATGCCAGGTATAGTACTTTTACACTTTAAAGGGGGACAGCAATACCAACATGGTTGTCCATCACCAGAGAAAGACCGGCTTTCTAGAAAGACTGAGGCAATACTTGAATGACTTTGAAAACTAGTGTTGCCCAGTCATTATAGCAGAAGATACGCAATCTCCATTACAGATACCAGCTGCACCTTCATCTCAGGAACAGGGTTAAAGATCTCAGCAACCAGGTGAGCATTCCTGAGTTCCTTGGTCTACACCTGCATTCCTAACCAATACTTAGTCCCACCCTCCCATAGTTGCTGAGAGGCAGGTGTTTCTTTACCAAGATGAATAACTTTAATCAAGTTACAGTCAGTTTGACCTAGGGATTATTTTGCTTTATTTAATGTTAACACTAGTGAAATTTATCTTGTGTGTGTGCTAAGTTGCTCCAGTTACATCCCGCTCTTTGTGACTCTACGGACTATAGCCCGCCATTCGCCTCTGCAAATGGGATTCTCCAGGCAAGAACACTGGAGTGGGTTGCCGTGCCCTCCTCCAGGGGATGTTCCCCACCCAGGGGTCAAACCCCACCATATTCTTTTGTCTCCTGCATTGGCAGATGGGTTCTTTACCACTGGTACCACCCGGGAGATTTATCTTACCATTGGCAAATATAGGAATCATATTTCCAGTTTTAGAGAATGATTACAGCTTTCAAATTACATCCTGGTTAAGACAAAACAAAACAAACAAACAAACAAAAAACCCCTCTTTCTGCCAGTAAAAAGTCTGCTCTGGAAGCTGTGGTAGCAGTGTTCATCAGATAATGTCCAAAAACTGATGGCTGCAATATTTCCCCAGTAATTTACCCTTCTGAACACCATTTAGTCACATGCCACCTTGTGCCAGGTATTAAAAGTTACTGTGGCTATATAACAAGACCAAGACAGAAAAAGTCTGTCCTAAAATAAGGTTTTATTATTTTTAATAAACTTATTTACTGCCTATCATCTGCATATGTGCTCTGCTTAGTCTCTCAGTCATGTCTGACTCTTTGCGACCCCATGGACTGTAGCCCACCAGGTTCCTCTGTCCATGGGGATTCTCCAGGCAAGAATGCTAGAGTGGGTCGCCATGCCTTCCTCCAGCAGATCTTCCCAACTCAGGGATTGAATCCTTGTCTTGTGCATTGGCAGCTGGATTCTTTACCACTGAGCCACGGGAAGCCCCAACCCTTTATTTATTTATCTATCTTTGGCTGTCCGGGGTCCTTCGGCAGTGAGGTCTCTCTCCAGCTGAGGGAATGAGTGCTTTCTCTAGTTGCTGATACATGGGCTTTTCGTTATGGTGCCTCTTCTTGTTGCAGAGTACAGGCTTCAGGCACACAGGCCTCACAAGTCGTGTCACACGGGCCCTAGAGCACATGGGTTTCAGTAGTTGTGGCGCACTGGAGTTTCAGGAGTTGTGGAGTAGTTGCTCCAAGGTATGTGAGGTCTTTCTGAACCAGGGATCTAACCCATGTCCCCTGCATTAGCAGGTGGATTTTTAATCAAGGGACCACTGGGGAAGTCCCCATTAACCCTGTAAACATTAAAGTTTTATCTGTCCCCAAACGCCAAGTAGGAATATCTCCCATTGAAATTATAGAATATTTAAGATTCCAGGGTTTCATGAATGACAACAACATTTGTTTAATGTTAACAGTGAGGCAACATTTTATAAACTCACTTCATTCTGTAAAGTAAGGTCAGGGAATCTGAGTAACAATGGAAATTGCAAGCAATTTGGTGTGTCCATTTTTCTGGAAAGAGGGCTCTTTCATCAGTTGTTCAAAGGAAGTATTAGGGCTTAGTGATAAACAGGAGGAATGTTGAAACCAGTTTTCCCAGGTTTGAAGCCCAGCTTTACTGCCTCTTAGAAATGTGACCTTGGGCAGCTTGTTTAACTTCTATGGGTGTTTTTTTTTTTTTTTTTGCCTTTTTCTTCTAGGTTAGTTAAGTGAAGCAGTGGGGGTGGAGAAGAAACAAGAAATCTGCAACTGGTTGTGATCAATGAATTGTAAACAGCACTGCACTCTTGCCCTCTGATCAGTCAACCTCTCTTTTCTTTGGTTTTCTCATCAGTAAACAAGGATTATGACAGACACTAGCTTATAGAGGTCCTCCTCCAGGGTACTAATCTTGCTTTATAAAGATATACTTGATTATCATTTGTCCTACCCTCTAGGCCAAGGGTCCCCAAACTCTGGACCTCCTGTCAGATCAGCGACGGCATTAGATTAGAAATAAAGTGTACAATAAATGTAATAAGCTCGAATCACCCTGAAACCATCCCCTGCCCCCTGGGCCATGGAAAAATTGTCTTCCACGAAACTGGTTGTTGTTGTTCAGCCGCTAAGTCGTGTCCAACTCTTTGCGACCCCATGGACTGCAGCATGCCAGGTTCCACCGTCCTTTACCATCCCCTCGAGTTTGCTCAAACTCATGTCTACTGAGTTGATAATATCATACCACATCTCATCTTACACAGCTGTCCTTTATTTTCAGATTCTCTCAAGTGCTGTTTCTACCCACTAGTTTCTCTCTACAAAAATGTCCTTAACTTGGCACACACACTCTCTTTGGAACCTAGCTTCTCTTTTGAACTCTTCCCCCAACACCCTTGGGGTTCTGAGTTTCTTTGGTACGCTACATGTGATTCTTTTTTTTTTTTTTTCTGTTAAATTATTCTTAATCAGATTGTGAGTTCTTCCTCTTAAGAGAAAGGTGGGGATGTGATGTAGCTTGTCTGTCTTTGCATTCCAAGCGTGTAGTCTAAAATCTGACACATAGTGTGTGCTTAATGTTTATTGTCAAAAGGTGACAATTAACATGCATAAATGTACTTCAGAGTTTCCCAGCGCATTCACACGATCATACTACTAATCCCTACAACAACCTTGTAGAATAGTAATTATCACCACCCTATCCATCCTTTCCTATTTTATAAAGTGTAGAGTGGAGCCTGAGATTATCTTGCCCGAAGCCAGTTAACAGTAAAGCGTGACTAGTACCTGCTCTTCCAGAGTTCAAGTACCAGCCTCTTGACATCATATTAATACACTTTGAAGTCAGCGCCAACTTCGCACCAGGATTTAAATTTGGGGAGACCAGTGGTGGCCACAGTTTCAGACGCTGGGCTGAGATGAGCAAAACCTCAGAGGGGCACACGGGATCCTGAACTACATCTCCCAGAAATTCCGGGGAGGGGGGCGGCAAAGCCTCATGTGAGTGGTTGAATCGGTCAGCCAATAGCGTCGCTATGAACTTTCTACAGACCAATCGCGGGCATGAAGGGGCGGGACCTCCCACTGCTAGGCTGGATTGCGCGCAGAATAACAGTATTCTGAGTTACACAAACCCGCGGGGCACTGCGAGCCTGGCCCCGCGCCTCGGCCGCCACGTCGTCCTCCGCTTCGGGTCCAGCCCGCGTCGTCCTGTCGACTCGGCCTCCGGTCGCGCTGGTTTAGCCGCCAGGCCTTTTCCTAGGACTGGCCAGGTGACCGAGAAGAAACCACGTGAATGAGCAGCGGTCTGGGCAGGGGGCCCTCCTGTCAGCGCCGCGCGGCGCTCGGGCCCTGACGGAAGCCCCGCTGTCGGGTCTGGTTGCGGGGAGGCCCCTCAGTGTCCCTGGGACCCCAACCTTCTGTGAACTACTGGCCCGGCGCTGGCTGGCGTGGCTCTGGGCCGTCACGTGCGGAGGGCGCGTCTTGCCCGCCGCGTCCCCGGCCCGAGGAGAAGACTCCGCAGCATGGCCCCCACGCGCCAGGACCTGACGCCATCTGGTAATGCTGCGACCGGCTCTCCGCGCTTCGGCGGTTTATTACCTCCTAATCCCTAGGGTGATTCAGTTACCACCAGGAGACACCTGGTTAGCTTTCCCCGGGGGCAGGCGGCGCCTCCTAACGTGGGAACCCTGAGGTCCCGTGTTTTCTCGCTGCCTGCGTTCCTTCTCTCCCCGACCCACCCGGCTTCCTCCCAAGGTAGACAAACCATCAAATCCATAAAGCACGCCCCGACTTGTGCCCCCGAAACATATTCTGAGCGCCAGGTTAACTAAACTTTTCAGTTTGATGTACCGTATTCCGTCTGGGCCTTATAGAAGTTTTGCATGATTGAACGTTCTTATTCAATATATGTTTATTAAGCATCTAAGCCAAAGAAGGTTCAGGTGCTGAGAAATAAGGAAGCCCAGAAAGCTATTTAAAACTGCACTGAACTTTTATTTTCCACCTCGAGGTTACAACAGTAGTCCTGCCAACTCTAGTGTGTGTAAAATCACTGTTAGAATAGATTAGTGGGTACTCAGTAGGTTGGGATAAGGGGTAGTAATTCCAGGTGATTTTGATGTTGGTGACTCTCACATTGACAATGCGGAAAAAGAAAACTAACACAAGAATTAAGTATATCAGTATTTTCAGTTTTAAAATGAGTTCTAGGTCTTTAATGCCCTCCCTGATTGTAATCTGTGAACAAATACACCTATTAAAACTTGTGAGGTATGAAGTAGCAAATGAAACAAGAGAATCAGTAACAAGGACATAACAGCAGATGTGACAGATAAGGATCTTCAGCTCAGGAATTCCATAACTCTGAAATTTTTCAGAGGTGAGCTAGTGACCCTTTTGATAGTCTTTAATAGAGTCAAGTCAGGAAACTGCTGAAAACAGTGTTGGGATCATTTGTTTGAATGCGGAATTCTTTTCCTTGCTCTGTTTCCCCCAGGCAGTGCAGTGGGTGTGGGAGTCCTAAGTCAATCTTAGCTGCATGGGATCATTCTGTCTACAGAGTAAATGTGTTCTTGACAGTAATTTATTACTTAAAATCATGTGTATTTGGGGTTTATTGGTTTATGCCATCATCTTGTCTCTAGGATGGTTCTTGTCTTAAGAACCATTGTTTAGGATGGTTCTTAAAGACCATACTATCTGACTTACCCACCTCAAAATCTAATTGGTCCTTTAACCAGTTAATCCCATGTTTGTTTACTCTTTGGAGCATTTACTATGAATCACATTATCATTACTGGGAAAGAAAACATTAGTTCAGTTCAGTTGCTCAGTTGTGTCCGACTCTTTGCGACCCCATGAATCACAGCACGCCAGGCCTCCCTGTCCATCACTCACTCCCGGAGTTTACCCAAACTCATGCCCATCAAGTTGGTGATGCCATCCAGCCATCTCATCCTTTGTCATTCCCTTCTCCTCCTGCCCGCAATCCCTCCCAGCATCAGAGTCTTTTCCAATGAGTCAACTCTTCCCATGAGATGGCCAAAGTACTAGAGTTTCAGCTTCAGCGTCAGTCCTTCCAATGAACACCCAGGACTGATCTCCTTTAGGATGGACTGGTTGGATCTCCTTGCAGTCCAAGGGACTCTCAAGAG